ATATATATATATATATATATATATCTATCTATCAGGGCTTGAAATTTCTGCTCGCCAATGGCGAGTGGAAATTATGGTGGGGTGCGAGTGTGTCCCCCCAGGGCCGTCTTGCTGAGCAGACTCTGAGCTCAGGCCGGATCTGTCATTGGCACTGGGAGCCATCAGACTGCTCAATAGCTGAGCTCAGTAAAAGCAAAGGAAGGAGTGTGTGCTGTGCTCTCTGCCTCCCCCTAGAGTGCAGTACCCGGTTCTGTGAGTGAACAACGAAGTACTGCAACTTTTTATGGGGGGGCGCATGTGTATGTACATGTGTGTATCTGTACATGTGTCTGTGTGTATGTACATGTATGTGTGTGTTTGTACGTACATGTGTCTGTGTGTATATGTCTGTGTATGTATGTACAGTGGGGATCGAAAGTTTGGGCACCCCAGCTAAAAATTTGTATTAATGTGCATAAAGAAGCCAAGGAAAGATGGAAAAATCTCCAAAAGGCATCAAATTACAGATTAGACATTCTTATAATATGCCAACAAAAGTTAGATTTTATTTCCATCATTTACACTTTCAAAATAACAGAAAACAAAAAAACATGGCGTCTGCAAAAGTTTGGGAACCCTGCAGAGTTAATATCTTGTACTGCCCCCTTTGGCAAGTATCACAGCTTGTAAACGCTTTTTGTAGCCAGCCAAGAGTCTTTCAATTCTTGTTTGAGGTATCTTTGCTCATTCTTCCTTACAAAAGTCTTCCAGTTCTTTGAGATTTCTGGGCTGTCTGTCAGTCACTGTTTGCTTTAACTTCCACTGTTCCTGATGACTGCCATTTCTTAATTACATTCAACAGAGGATATTGAATCTGGCAAAACGCTTTGCTATCTTCTAATCCCCCGTGGATTTCGAGCCTGTTTAGGATCATTATCCATTTGCTTTGCCATCCTCTCTTTAAACTTCAGCTTTTTCACAGGTGGCTCAAGTTCCAAAATTTGCTGTTTTTATTGAATCCATTTTTTCCTTCTACTCGATAGATGTTCCCTGTGCCACTGAACACAACCCCAAAGCATGATTGATCCAACCCCATGGTGGACAGAGGTTCTTTTCATTAAATTTCTGTGCCTCTTCTTCTCCCCAAACGTACCTTTGCTCATTCCAGCCAAAAAGTTCAATTTAAGCTCATCGGTCCACAGAACTTTGAGATTCCAAAATGCATCAGGCTTGTCTATATGTTCATTTGCAAAGTTCAAACGATGATTTTTGAGAACAAGAGGTCTTCTGATGACTCTTCCATGAAGACCATATTTTTGTACAAGTATCTCTTTTAGGGAATAGTGTACCACAACTCCAGTGTCTGCCAGATCTTTGGAGGGATCGTGCAGTCAAACGGGGGTTTTGAATTGTTTGCTCATCCTGCGAGCTGTTCTGTCTGAATTTTTCTGCCAGATTTTGCTTTAACTTCCACTGGATGACTGCCATTTCTTAATTACATTCCGAACAGAGGATATTGACATCTGAAAACGCTTTGCTATCTTCTTATAGCCTTCTCCAGCTTTGTGAGCTATTTTCAGTTTCAGTTTTCTAGATAACTGCTTAGAAAAACCCATGGTGCTGATTGTTGGGGCAAGGTCAGATGAGTCTGGGCATTTTTTGTTTTGAGATTGACATCACCTGGTTTTCCCAGACGATGATTGAGAACAATCCATGACACTGGCAGGTCTCAGCTTTGCAAAGGGGGCAGTGCATGCTATAAATTCTGCAGGGTGCCCAAACTTTTTGCAGATGCCATTTTTTTTGTTTTCTGTTATTTTGAAAGTGTAAATGATGGAATAAAATCTAACTTTTGTTGACATATATATAAGAATGTCTTATCTGTAATTTGATGCCTTTTGGAGATTTTTCCATCTTTCCTTGGCTTCTTTATGCACATTAATACAAATTTTTAGCTGGGGTGCCCAAACTTTCGATCCCCACTGTACATGTGTCTGTGTGTGTGTGTGTGTGTGTGTATAGGTGTCTCTGTTTGTGTGTGTTTGTTGGTGGCGAGTAACTCTTAAGGCCTGGCTAGTAGCTCAGGACTTGAAATTTTAAGCCCTGTTATAATATATATTTCATTTTATTTTTGGTCTAATTTTTGTGTTACTTTCAGTACATTATTTTATGTTACTGGATTGCTTTTTTTAAATTCCTATTCATTTAAATTCATTATATTAATTGATTGCTTCTGGGTCCAATTCCCTGCTGCATTATAACACTTTTCTCTGTAAATGCATAGCATTCCCTGATTGGATGAGGAGGATATCAATGCCCCCTGCCTCTCCTTTTCCAATTGGAGGATACTTTTCATTCATTGAAAAAAATGCAAAGCATTTTCTGAATGGTTCTTAGACCAGGGCTTGACAAAGTTGCTTTGAATCTAGGAGCCAGCTAAAAAAGTTCGGAGCCAGTTTTTTATAACCACTTGCCTGATTACTTTCGCCCCCTTTCTGCCCAGGCCAATTTTCAACTTTCAGCGCTGTCACACTTTAAAGAACAATTGTCATGCAGCACTGTACCCAAATGAAATTTTTATCTTTTTTTGAGACGCAGCTTTCTTTTAGTCGTATTTAATCACCACTAGGTTTTTTATTTTTTACTAAATACATGAAGAAGAGTCAGAAAATTAAAAACAAAAAAAAACAAACTTTTTCTTCAAATAAGTAATTTTTCTTCATTGATGTGCACCGGCGGGGCCACACTGATGAGGCCACTGATAGCTGGCCATACTGGCTGTCATGAAGGTAGTGGTCTCTTGAGTTGCCCAATCCTGACTCTAAGCTGCAGTCCGATCCCATCCAGGGTGGGAACTGGAGCACCTGGGGTGTCCCCTGCGAGGCGGTGTCAAGCTCGGAGCCATTGCTGAGCCCATTCAGAGCCATCGGTTTCTGCTCCAATCTAAGGCTGAGAGTCTCCCCAGAGTGGCAGGTGTCCCTGAGAGCCCCATAGGGGACACTTCCTGCAAGATCCACTCCTACTACTCTACAGCCCCGCATCTCCCCTAACCCGTCCTTCACATTCCCGCAACTCTCCTCCTTTAACCTGCCCTCACTGCGCCGCTCCTCCCTACCCCCCCCCCCCCCCCCCCCCGCCACACAAACGTGGCACAGTGACACCTGCAGGCTGCCCAGTAATGTTGCACCTGGCTGTGCTCCCCTATGCTACGCCATTGGGGCTGACACCAGCCTGGGCACCAGGCCACATTTTCTAGCTGACCTGGTGCCTGGGATTTGTTGAGCCCTGTCTTAGACCAAGTAGTCAACCTCTTGTGTTCAGTATGCAGCAGGGCAGACACTCCACACAGGACTTGGAAGCTGGTGGAGATCACTGGAGTAGCGATGTCCAGCTCCAGGTATGACGCATACATACTTACATTGGTCCAATGTAACTACATAAAAATTGCTACACCTAAACTTCAACTTAAAAAAAGCAGGTAAAGGAACAGAAAAGTAAATTTTTTAAAATTTCCTTTTAATAAACTATTGACTTGCAACGTGCCTCTGAGTTTGTTTGAAAATGTAGATTTTTTTTCGGGAAAGCCAATTTCTTAACCCAGCCTTCTTCCTCATTGCATATTATAGCCATGTCCTCTTCTGGGAGTGTCCAGTTACTCTCTGTGCTGCCCCAGCTCCTCCTCCACCCCTCACATCACCTTGCTACATAACCTATTATATAACACCTGGGGAAGGAGCAAAGGGGATTTCATAGAGCAGCCCTTTTCAACCTTTTCACCCTAGAGGAACTCTTGAAATAATTTTCCAGTATCAGGGAATCCCTACTAAAACCAAGTCATCAGGGTCAGTGAGAAAAATGCCCCTGATATTGTTGGCCAGAGGAAGGAATGTCGGTTCAACACCCCCTTTACAATGGTGGTCAGAATGCTGCCCTTACAAACCGCTAAAAAAGGTAATTGGTGTCCTGCAGCTGGCTCTGCCAAGTGGTGTTGGCCCCAGAACTATGGAGGCACCATCAGATGGAAGGTCAATGGGCCACAGCTCAAGGAGCTCCTATCAACCTCCTGGAGGAACCCTGGTTGAGAATGGCTGCAATAGAGGGTCACTAGTATGGCTCAGTCAGCTGAGGTTGCCGGCATCACATCCAATATGGCGCCATCAGCAGTCTCAGGTCTTTTAAAGGTCTACTGAGGGGAGGAGTTTACAGGTAAATAATGAATATTCTCTTACAGGAAGATTGTTGTATGGAATCATCTGCCAACAGGTTCTATTTAAAATATCTCAAGGTTAAATTAAAACTGGTACAGACTTTTTTTTTTTTAGTGCAGGTTGCACTATAAGGGTTGTATAAAATTAAAAAAAAAAAAAAAAAAAAAAATTTTTTTTTTTTTCTAATCTAAATGTCTTTATTGTGCTAAGCCAGTTGTGTAAATGCAGCTTTTGTATATACACAAATCTATCTTTATATCAGCCTCTTATAATTCCCACTTCAGTGCCTATGGAAGAGGGAAGGGCACCACTAGGATGCTGCATGTGCTGACAGGAAGAGAGAACAAAGTGAGCAACGCGATGACCTCATCAGTCATCTGCTGCTCAATCACTGTCCAATCTCTGGCTGGGGACAGTGAGTTGACCATACTGGAATGTTTAAAGAATTCTAGGCATGGCATTTTTTACATGGGTATGTTACTCCAGCTTGGACCAATGTAACTATGCATACACCATACCTGTGGGGGGTCCCTTTTTAGAGCTGGAATTCGCTGTAGTAGACACCTCCAGTGATCTCCACTTGTTTACATGTCCTGTGCCAAACCGCTGCCCTGCAGCATTGTGAACACAAGAGCTTGGCGCAGGCACCGTTCAGAGATCACTTTACACTCTCTGATTGGTTGAGGTGGAAAGTGTGATGTCACCTGGAGCTGTATGGTGCGGTCATTCCGATACATTCGATCATTCTTGAGGGAGACATTTTCTGTGTATGCATGTTCATTTTATAATACGTTTTTTTTTGTTTCTTTTCAGAGATCCATCAGATGTGGTTGAGCTTTATTAGCTGCATAGCTGGGGGAGTGTTCTTGGGTGCCTGTCTGCTGGATATTGTTCCTGACTTTCTCGGTGACATGAAGGAGGCTATGGCGAAAGAGCAAATAATAGTACGTCATAATGAATTAATTGCATGGTGTGCATTCTAAAGGGAGATGGCCAGAAGAGAAATATGAGAGTTGCTGTTCCTGATTGCCTTGGAGCACCTATCCTCATCCATGCTAGATATTTAGTGTGTCACTGTCTTGGATACAAACCTGTACATATTGGCTTTTGTAACATACACGTACTTGGTCCAGGTCAGAGACTCACCAGGTAGAAAACAAAGGATGAGGGTAACACCAGAGGGAGATCCTTCAAAAGCCAGGAGTGGAAGTTCCCAGATCTTTCCTGATGGGTTCCTTAACCCAGTTATGACCACCCCACACGTGATGGCAAAAGGGTGAGCTTTAACACCCACGCACCACATGTGTCACTGGGAGGCCATTGCTTATGTGCTGAGAGTGCACTCACCACGTGACCAAACTGTCACAGACAGTTCAGACTGCAGATTGATAGCCGGCAGGACTTGCTTCCAATCATGTGACCACTGTAATAGAGGTTACATAATCGCCAATCCCCCCCCCAGGCATTCCAAACTTTTTAAAGGGATGCTGGGGTAGGTGAGAAGGGGTTAAAAGGAATATAATAACATAAGTGGAGTATACGAACACTGGAACTTTGTGTGCATTTGCTATAAAATTCGCCACGTTTTATGTTTCGACAATGTAGATCGTGGGGAGATTTACTAAAAGTGGAGCACGCAGAATCTGGTGCAGCTGGGCATGGTAGCCAATCGCTTCTAATTTCAGCTTGTTCAGTTAAACTTTGACAATAAAACCTGGAAAGCTGATTGGTTTCTGTGCACAGCTGCACCAGATTTTGCACTCTCCAGGATTAGAAAATAACCCCCCCCCCCCCGTTTATATGTATTTAATTGAAAGAGTGAAAACTTCAAAATTTCCCACTGCAGATCCTCTAATTTCTGTATAACTTCAGATTCAGGTATGTCCCACCTGCACCCTAATGTCTTTGTAGAACCACATTGACCCACTGTTACGTCTTCTTTTTTTTTTTTTTCTTCTTAGAACTGTAATTCCCACCATGGCCCACTTCCTTCCTCCCTATGTTTCGCTGGTATTTAAAGCAGAACTGAGCTCTCTGTCAGTATTTAATCCTTCTTCTAGCCTTAGGCCTGGTACACACTAACAGTACACTGCATAGTTCAGGAGGAGCCGCTGTGCTAACAGTTCGATGTTAGTACATCGATCTCCCCCGCAAAGCCCACAAAACATGCTGCGGAGGGGGTACATGTAAATGATCACTCTGCTGTACAGCCTCTGGATTGCTGTCATTTGAAAGACGATGGTCTGCTTGTCAGATTTAAAGAGGAGTTCAACTCACCCTGTGAAAAAATAAAAGTCAGCATCTAAAAAAACTATTGCTGCTGACTTTTAAAAAACATCCCACCTGTCCCATGGTGTCCTCCCCACAGCCAGTTTCACCGGCTGTCCTGGATTCCAGGAGGCCAGCATCTTCAGTGTGGGCACCCGGCTGTGACAGCTTGCAGCTTCACAGCCAGATACCCACTGCGCATGTGTGAGTAGCGCTGCGCTTCCTGAATGGTCCTGAAGTCTTCTGGGACCTGTCACGTGTCCCAAAAGACTACAGGGAGGGAGGAAGGACACCTTCTGCTTCCGGTCACCTAGGTGATCAGACCGGAAGTGGGAGCGGGTACCTGTCAAATTCGGGTACCCGCTCCCCCCCAAAGGTGCCAATCCTTAATGGGGAGCAGTCCTTAAAGTGGAACTTCCCCTTTTGGATGGAGCTCCGTTTTAACACAGATTCCTGGCTGCTGTAGCAGCTGGAAATATGTGTAGGACCCTCTGTGACTAATGTGTTACATACATCGGTGGCAGTGAAAGGGTTAAACCGCCTAAAAGGCCTTTGCTAGTTGGACAGATTGTTATTGTGCCTATGGTGAGGGTAGAGTGGAAAAGATTGCTATCAGAATATTGGGTACGGGGCCGCTTTGCTCCCCACAGATCGATTGCCTCTGAGCCTTTAGTCTTTGCCTTTAGAATAAATCCTGCTATTCCTCTTGCTGTCCCATCTCACAGTATCTGTGCATAGCGACTCTTATGAGCTCATTATCACTCAATCTCCCATGTAACCACTCTCTGGCAATGCCTAGATAGCAGCTGTGAGAACTGTAAAAATCTAATTCTGTGTTGAGTCTAAACTCAAGTCTGAAATGTCACAAAAGGGGTTGCTGTGACCTGAGAGGGGGAGAAATAATGACTTTACAAGAGTTTCAGTGCATAGCTACTGTTATGATTAGAGATGAGCGAATTATTCAAAAATTCGATTCGGCTGATTCCCCGAATTCGCGGAATAAGTTCGATTCGAGGCGAATATATTCGCTGCGAATTTAACTTATAAAAAGGGTGTTTCTAGGCTTCAGAGAGCCTTTATATTAGTGCAGAACACTGTACCTTTAATTTAAATGCCCTTGGAGTCTGCTGGGGAAGAGAACTAATACTGTCAGTCAGTATGACATGCAGATGAGTGCCGTCGATCTTAGAATCACCGCACACTTCACTCATTTGGGCAGTCACGGGGCCAAAACCAGAGGGTGGAGCCACAGTGTGGCGGTGGAGGCAGCAGCAATGGGAGGCCATACAGCACCCTATGACAAAATGGAACCCACCAGCAGTGTGAGGAGACCTGAAAGTGGCACATGGCAGAGTGTGGCGATGGAGACAGCAGCAATGGGAGGCCGTACAGGGACCCATGACACACTCTGGACCTGGCAGCAGCATGAGGAGGCGGTACAGGGGCCCATGACAGATTACGGGCCAGGCAGCAGCAGTGGGCGGGCGGTGGATGCAGCAGCATTCGGAAGCCAAACACAGGCCTCGGTTAAAAAGCGGAAGCCGTCAGCAGCGTGAGCAGACGACAGAGGCACATGGCGCAGGGTGGCGGTGGAGGCAGCAGCAATGGAAGGCCATACAGCACCCTATCACAAAATGGAACCCACCAACAGTGTAAGGAGACCTGAAAGTGGCACATGGCGCAGGGTGGCGGTGGAGGCAGCAGTATTCGGAAGCCATACACAGGCCTAGGTTAAAAAGCGGAAGCCGTCAGCAGCGTGAGCAGACGACAGAGACACATGGCGCAGGGTGGCGGTGGATGCAGCAGTATTCGGAAGCCAAACACAGGCCTCGGTTAAAAAGCGGAAGCCGTCAGCAGCGTGAGCAGACGACAGAGGCACATGGCGCAGGGTGGCGGTGGAGGCAGCAGCAATGGAAGGCCATACAGCACCCTATAACAAAATGGAACCCACCAACAGTGTAAGGAGACCTGAAAGTGGCACATGGCAGAGTCTGGCGATGAAGTCAGCAGCAATGGGAGGCCGTACAGGGACCCATGACACACTCTGGACCTGGCAGCAGCAAGAGGAGGCGGTACAGGGGCCCATGGCAGAGTGGCGAAGCATAAGCAGCTTAAATTGAAGGCCATACAGAGGCCTATGTTAAAAATAATAACATGTTTGGGGCATGATTCATGGCGGATTTAGTCAGTTGTGTCAGGAACTGGTGGTTTGAAATCCAGACTAATCCACGCCTGATTCATTTTCACAAACGTGAGTCTCTCCACACTTTGGGTGGACAGTCGTGTCCTCCGCGGAGTTACAATACCTCCTGCCGCACTAAACACGCGCTCCGATGCCACGCTACTGGCCGGGCATGACAGCCTTTCAAGGGCAAATTCAGCTAGTTGGGGCCAAAGGTCAAGTTTCGTTGCCCAGTAGTCAAGGGGATTGTCTACCTCGGTTGGCAGGGTGCTGTCCAAGTAGGCCCGAGCCTGTTGTTTGAGGTCCTGCTCCAGGTCCACCTGATGCTGCTGCTGCGGCGGCTGCTTAGTAGTTTCCTCACTGCGCTGGTGAAGAAAAAGCTACTCATCATCGACTGCAGACTGAGGCAGCCGCTGCTGGTGGAGCTGCCACTGCTCCTGCCACCCCACCCCTCCCCTGCTGCCATGGCAGCGGAACGCGAGCGCACAGGGCCCACAGTGTCTGAGGATGGACGTTGGCGCAGAAAGGCAGAGACCAACTGACTACATAGGTGGTTTTTATAGTACTTTATTTTGGCCTCCCTCTCAGCAGGTGTGAAAAAGGCCACCATTTTTGAACGGTAGCGAGGGTCCAACAAGGTGGACAGCCAAAAGTCATCCCTCTGTCTGATGGTTATTATTCGGCTGTCGCTACGCAAGCAACCGAGCATGCTATGGGCCATTTGTGCCAAGGAATGCGAGGGACTCCCTGCCTCCATCTCCACAGCATACTGCCACGGTGCGTCTGTCTCCTCCTCCTTCTCTACCAGATGCTCCTGCTCCTCCACTCCTGTCCGCTGAGTGTAAAAACCACCCATTTCACTCAATAATTCCTGAGCACCAATGTCCTCCTCTACCTCCTCCTCTTCTTCCTGTCCTGCCCCCACAGGGGTCATGTGGCGTTGAGATCTGTGCGCCACGTCTACCGCACCCTGACCAGCCATTGTTAACAGCATTTGTTCCAGGACGTGCAACAGAGGAATGACGTCGTTCATCCCATAGTCCTGCCGACTCACGAACAGTGTGGCCTCCTCAAAGGGCCTGAGCAAGCGGCAGGTGTCACGCATGAGCTGCCGATGGCTGACATCGAAGTTACACAGGGGAGTACCTTTATCCGCTTGTAACATCAGGAAATCGGTGATGGCCTTTCGCTGTTCGTAAAGGTGGTCTAACATATGTAGGGTTGAATTCCACCTTGTTGCAACGTCGCAGATCAGGCGATGCTGTGGAATTCCGTTCTGCCGCTGCAGCTCAAGGAGGGTGTGCTTTGCGGTGTAGGAATGGCTGAAATGCATGCAAAGTTTACGTGACATTTTAAGGATGTCTTGCAGTGGGATGGTGGATTTTAGGAACCGCTTGACAACCAGATTGAACACGTGAGCCATGCATGGCGCATGGCACAACCTTCCTTGACGCAGAGCAGACACCATGTTCTTTCCGTTGTCTGTCAACATGGTTCCGATTTTCAGATTGCGCGGAGACAGCCATCTGTCGATTTCTCTGTTCATTACACTCAGAAGTTCCTCCCCTGTGTGACTACGTTCGCCAAGGCATACCAGGTGCAGCACAGCGTGACACCGTTGCGCCCTGCACATGTGATATGCCGGTCGGGTAATGGGACTTGGCACGGGGGTGGCGGCTGAGGACACGGCAGAAGAAGAGGTGGTAGAGGCGGACATCTTTGCTGGACCAAGGACGTGCAAACGTGGAGGCAAAAGCAGCGTGACCTGTCCAAGTTGCTGGTGCGGCTGTGCCGGCACCACGTTCACCCAGTGGGCCGTAAATGACATGTACTGTCCCTGACCGTAGTTACAGCTCCACACGTCGGCGCTGCCGTGCACTTTGGCAGAGACCGACATGCTCAAAGACTGGCCCACCATCTCTTCTACATGTGAATGCAGGGCTGGCACTGCCTTTTTGGCGAAGAAATGCCGGCTTGGCACTCTCCACCGCGGCTCGGCACAAGCCATTTCTCGGAAAGGTGCTGAGTCCACCACTTGGAAAGGGAGGGACTGCAGCCCCAGCAACTTGGACAGGAGGACGTTCAGCTTCTGCACCGTCGGGTGCGTGCTCGCAAACTGTTGTCTCTTGGAAACGGATTCCAAGAAAGACTGCTGACGGAATCCGTGAAGAGGAGTAGCAGGAGAAGGAGCATCTGAACGAGCGGAAGATGCCAACGAGCGACAACTCCCCTCAGCAGAGGTGTTGGAGCCTTGACTGGCTGATAGAGGGCGATTGACGTCGGGTGACAGAGCAAGTAACGGAGTGGGTGATGGGGCTGGGGCAGGCAGAACCGCCGTATCTTTATCACGGTTTTCCCAGGCCACCGAATGGCGACGCTGCATATGCTGGCGCAACGCTGTAGTCCCAACATGGGCCCCCTGGCCACGCTTGACTTTCTGGCCACATAGTCGACATACGGCTACGTTGACTTCCTCGGGCGGCTTGACGAAAAATTGCCACACCGCCGAGTAGGAAACTTTGCCCCCGCTACTCCTCACTGGCTGACTGCTACTTCCTCCGTGCACACCGGCACCACTACTGGCCGTGGTGGTAGGCTGCAGTGGAGCTGGTGCTCTACTCCGTGGCCGTTTGCCTCCACTGACACTGCTGCGACCCTGCTGCCTCCTGGGCAACCCACCGACTGTTTTGCTCGCTGGCAAGCTGGCACCCTCTTCTCCTGATGATGCGGAAGCAATAGCCTGATGACGACGAGGCTGCCAAGTGCGATCAGCCTCATCATCATCAATTAGGGTCTCCGCGTCACTACTAGCCCCCTCGGCTGCGTGTGGGTCAGGAGACAGACCTGTCTCTAGACCGGCTACCGAGCCACTCTCCTCGCCAGTACTTCTTCGCCTGGCTGCTGAAGAGGCGGATGTCTCCCCCCGTTCCTGACCGCCCTCTGTTAGCTCTTCCTCACTGTACAGTGGGGCTGAGCCCACAGCATGCGATACTTCGCTTGGTGAGGGAACACCAAAGGACAGGGGCAGGTAGAGGACACGTGATTTCAGTGGGCTTGCTCCCAGGCCATGCCAACTAACGGTTGTGTCTGACGTACCCACCGACCGTTGGCTGTAGGTGTCAGAGGTGACCTGGGAAGAGGAAGACGACCGAGTCAACCAATCGATGACGGCAGGGTTGTCGGTGGAGACACGACCGCTGGATGACACCGGGAGCACTGGCCTCTGGCTGCGACTAGTGCTGCCTCGACCCCTTCCTCTGCTGCCACGTCTGCTCGCTCCTGAAACATTGCCTCCTCTGCCACTCCTCTGCGTGTTGTCTGACATACTCTTTAATTCAATAAGCACCCCAAACATAAAACCGGATTTGACTCTTTGAACGTACAATAGTGGTTGTGAAGCAGAAAGTAACGATTCTGTGTCCCTGAGTAACGATTCTGTGTCCCTGAGTAACGATTCTGTGTCCCTGAGTAACGATTCTGTGTCCCTGAGTAACGATTCTGTGTCTGTCCCTGAGTGACGATTCTGTGTCTGTCCCTGAGTGACGATTCTGTGTCTGTCCCTGAGTGACGATTCTGTGTCTGTCCCTGAGTGACGATTCTGTGTCTGTCCCTGAGTGACGATTCTGTGGCCCTAACTCTGTCCCTAATACAGACAGGTCTGTCTCTCTTGAATGACCGGAGGCTAATGGAGAATTCTAAGATGGCCGCGATTTATAGCTCCACCATTACACATTGCTGGCTGGCTGGCTGCTGATTGGCTAATGCGATCACATGTCATGAATGAATGCATTATGGGTCTGCGCGCCTTCCCAGAGATCCTCGCTCCGTCGCCACACATGTCGCCGCCATTTTTGGGAAAATTCGATTCGTGCATCCGAAGTTTGCTAATTTTCGGATTCAGCGCGAATCGAATTTTTCCTAATCTTCGAAACGAATTCCACTTCGTCATGTTCGATTCGCTCATCTCTAGTTATGATTGCAAGAGGAATAGCAAGGTATACTTAAAGAGATGAAGAATATATTTCAAAAGAAAATATATCTATGCCCTATCATATAACCCTATTGCAAAGAAGGAAACAAGGGCTGGGCTGTCCCTAGAGTATACAAAAAAAAAATCACGTTTAGACCAGAGGTCTTCAAACTTTCAAAACAAAGGTCCAGTTAATTGCCTTTGTGGGGGGTGGACTGTAGCCAGTGGGAGTACAAAATGGTGTCAAAATGGGAGGAATAGCGCTTCATTGTGGGGGGGGTAGTGCCCATCGTTGGTGTCAGGGGGAGGAATAGTGCCCCGCTGTTGGCGCCAGGGGCAGGAAAAGTGCCCCGCTGTTGGCGCCAGGGGCAGGAAAAGTGCCCCGCTGTTGGCGCCAGGGGCAGGAAAAGTGCCCCGCTGTTGGCGCCAGGGGCAGGAATAGTGCCCCACTGTTGGCGCCAGGGGCAGGAATAGTGCCCCGCTGTTGGCGCCATTTGGGGCAAGTAACGCATCAAGGGCCAGATAAAGGCAAGCAAAGGACCACAGTTTGCAGACCACTGGTTTAGACCAAAGGAAGAAAAAAAAAAAGCTTTGCTTTAGAGGGCAGCCTATTAACAAAAAAAAAAAACAAAAACAAACTGATTGTTCCTTTTCTCTTTAGACAGATTATCCTCTCCCAGAATTTATCTTGGGAACCGGAGTCCTGCTTGTCCTGACTATAGAACGCATTGTCCTGGAATGTAGCCATAGTATGACTGAAGAGACTGCACCATTGTTATCCAGCCCTGCTATCTCTCCAGCTGTACAAGAAAACTTGCGTCGTCATTCCCATGGTGGTCAGGATCACACTGTGGAACATGGAGGACGCCACTTCCACGTGGATTTCAATGCCCACTCCTCCTTTCCGCTCCTTTATCCTCATCTTGTCCTTGTCTCTGCATTCTATATTTGAAGGGATTGCCATTGGACTACAGAATGCCCAGTCGGAGGTCCTACAGATAGCCATTGCAATCCTCATTCATAAGAGTATTATTGCAGTCAGCCTATCCCTGCTTTTAATGCAGAGCAATGTGAAGACACGATGGTTTGTGCTGTCCATTGTCATGTTTGCACTTATGTCACCAGTTGGTATTGCTGTAGGAATTGGGGTGATGCAGAATCAAGCAGATGGAAGCAGTTTGGTTCAGAGTATTCTAGAAGGCTTGGCTGCCGGGACATTTGTCTATATAACCTTTCTAGAGATCTTGCCGCATGAACTGAACTCTAACAAATGGCGGCTACCTAAAGTCATTTTCATTCTGCTGGGGTTCTCCGCTATGGCGGCACTCAGGTTTTTAGGCTGATACTGTATTACAGTATTTTTTAAAATGTACCTTATTTTCTACCTCCTTTTTGTTTACATAATCAGATAACGCACATCTATCCATTTTTTTTTTTTTTTTTTTTTTTTTACATACTGGACTGAAAAGCATGCTATCCTTAACTCTTTGCTGTTTCTGTTCCGCAAAGAGCTTAAGAAGAGGACGACCTCTGCACTAAAGGACCTACAAGAAACTGAAATATATTTTGTTATGTTGCGAGCTTTAACAAATCAGGTTATTTTAAATAACTTTTAATCTGGCAATTACTACAGTTTTATGTGTTTTGTGGTCATCAAAGCAAAATTAAACCTCAATCGTGTCTTTTTTATGCTTGAAGTGTCCACTGCCTTACTTTGCTCTTCAATCTATGTTCATTGTGAATAATGTACATTGCACACGGCGTATTACTACATTCCTAGTACATTACTGTTCATATAAAGTGGTGTAATGTATCATGGGATCCTATTAGAAACTAATACTATATGGGCAAATGCTTGTAGACACCTGACCAACATACTTACAGAACATGGGCATTAGAGAGTTGCTGTCCACCTCACTGTGGGCATTACAGCCTCTGCTCTTCAGGGATGGCATTCCACAGCACTTTTGCGTTGGTCTTTGGGAATGTGTTTCATCAGGATAAAGAATATAAAGTCAGGTATTGAAGTTGTCAGGAATTTATCACAAAGGTGTTCAGTAGGGTTGAGGTCAGGACCTTGGACAGGCTACTCAGTTTCTTACACACCAGACTTATCCAATTGTGCCTTGGTTTACCCACAGGGGCAAAGTCCTGCTGGAACAGAAAACAAGCTCTTCTAATCTAATGTGTTAAAGGGGGAGATTAACTAAAACTTGTGCATGCAGAATCTGGTGCAGTTATGTATAGTAACCAATCCGCTTCTAGGTTTTATTTAGTGTTGCACTGAAATGAAAATTCTGGTGCCGAAAACCAAAATTCAAATTGCACTTGTCGAAAACTGAAACGAGTAGTTATAAAAATTAATATATATTTTTGGGGAAAAAATACACTGATTAAAACAAACAATATATACCCCAATTTTTTTGTAAAGTATGAAAAAAGGATGTTATGGCGAGTAAATGGATACCCAACATGGCACGCTTTAAAATTGCGCACACTCGTGGAATGGCGTGAAACTACGGTATTTAAAAATCTCCATGGGCGATGCTTTAAAAATTTCTAAAGATTATCAGTGTAAAGTTACAGAGGAGGACTAGTGCGAGAATTATTTATCTTGCTCTCATGTTCGTGGCGATGCCTTGTGCGTGATTTGAACACAGTTTACATATGTGAGCATGACCTACATATGCGTTCACCACTACATGCAAGCATGGGGGGGGGATGGGGGCACTTTAAACTTTTTTAATTTATTTAATGTTTTGTTTTTTTTGCACTGTCCCTTAAAAAAAAAAAAAATTTAACCACTTTTATTATCACAAAAAATGCATACATCCCTTGTGATAGAAATAATTAGCGACAGGTCCTCTTTATGGAGAGATATGGTGTCAAGAAGACCCCACATCTCTCCTCTGCAATGTAAAGCATTGGATTAAAAAAAAGCATTGATCTAGTGCTTTAAAAAAAAAAAAAAAAGGCCAGAACGGGAAATGACATCGCTCCGGTCCTCCAAGGGCATAAAGATGAGTGGCAGCCATCTTTCCTTCACTCATCTCTATGCCCAGCGCCGGGATCGATGGTTTCTCAGGTAAGGCTGAGAACTATTCAGTGGGCAGCGGCGAGGGGTGGGGTTTTTTTTGGCACCTGTATTGGTGCTATTTATTTATTTATTTTTTTCATTTCTGCCAAAAGGGGTGTTTTCGGCTGAAACGTTTCGGCCACAGACATTTCGTTGCATCTCTAGTTTTATTGTCAAAGCTTAATTGAACAAGCTGATGTTAGAAGCTGATTGGTTACTATGCACAGCTGCACCAGATTCTGTGTGCTCCAGTTTTATTAACCCCAGAACAAGCCACACCCAATAGTTTCCCTCAGTCTACCTTCTACCCCATCACAAGCCTGGTGCATCTCTACAGGATAATACTTCCACCACCAGGCTTCACAGTGGGGATGATGTGCTTAAGCCAAACATTACATTTAATCTAAAGCTCAATTTTGGGCTGAGTGGATATAAAAAAGGTCTTCCAAATGACTCTAGAAATTCCCACATGTTCTTTGGCTACATGAGATGTCATATGAGTTCATAGATGTGTTTTTTTTTTTTTTTTGTTTTTTTTTTGTGTCACACTCCCATAAGGCTGTGACTGGTGTTGCTGTTGAGGCACAGATATAGGTATGGTCTCTGCCCCATTGGCTTGTAACTCCAAAGTTGACATGGATCAACAGAAATATTCTCTTTACAATGGAAACCATTAATGAATAATCAAATGAGCTGATTGCATTAAGGTACACTTCTGTCAAGTCATATGGTCTCTCCACATTAGTCTAGTTGTCTCCTTGCAAGGTCATTCACTTTTTGTGAATAGCCTGATCTTGGCAGATTACAGCTGTGCAATACTGTTCATTTCTAATGAATGCTTTAACAGTTCTCTGGGAGATATTCAAAGACTTGGATCTGCGTTTTGCATCCAGCCCGTCTTGTACTTTTTCAATCACATTGTCCATGAAGTGGCAGAGACTGTTCCTTTTTGTCTTCATGGTGTAGGATGCCATTTCTAGGGCGATTACAATCCTCACGCCTCCTGAGTACAGACTCACCGTAAGGGCTCATGTACACGGGGCGTTTGGAAAAATTCTGAACGATGGAAATTGACCGCTGGAAAATGTAGGTTAAAAAAAGTCACTTTAGCTGCGTTTGCATACCACATTTATGTGCGTTTGTGTTTAAAAGCATTTTTAAAAGATTACTTCAGGAGACCTTCCCAAATGCACTGAAAAAAAGTAAAAAATTTAACTCTTTCAGACCTTTTGAGAGAAATAGAGAGAGCAGAAGCAGAGAGAGTAGTATGTGTTGAGATGACCTGTCTTTTCTGGTTGTATTCATTATGGTTCCCATCATGAGCATAATGTGACATGTTCTACCATTTTTTCCTTCATGTGAAACCTGGAACTGACTGCGCTGGTGTACCGGGTCCATTTGAATTCATGGAAAACGCTTTGCATGCATTTCTGATGATGAAAAAAGGCTCTGGACAGCATCTGGACATGGAACAGTTAAACGCTTATAAACGCAAATTCTTTTAAACACGGTTCACAATGTTTACAAGTTTTGGCGTTTGATACGCTGGTAAAATCTACTGAATGCAATTTCGGTGCGTTCAAAAAAACGACTGTAAACTCAACTGCCTGTAAACGACGATGTGTACATGGCCACATAGGAAAACATTAGGGAGAGTTCAGAGGCTGCTGAAAAAAATGCAGAAAAGCTCCTGAACGTCAGTTTAGGAGCTGCAGTGCACATGAGCCCTAAGCTGGAACTTCCAGATTGGGCTGAAGCAACTAATCAACATAATTGATTATGAAAATGGTTATCAACTATTTTCATAATCGATTAGCAGTTCAGCGGATTAGTTGGATTGCATATAAAATGCATTCTTTGTTTGCATATCAGAATATACAGTGCAGGACACTGTTCATACATGTCAGTAAGTGCCTGAGAAGGTGTGAATATGTGATGAGCAATGCATCGTGGGACAGGGCAGGGCAAAAAAAACCCAAAGTTTTCCTTGGCAATGTAATGTCATAATGTGCTGGTATACATTGCCTACTAGCACATTATGCAGGACTTGCCGTAAAACAAAGCACTCCAGCTGTGCGCTATCACTGCTGCAGAGGCTTCCATCTTCACTCAGACTTCCTTTCGGGTTCAAGAGATTCAACCGCCTGGCTGGCCGAGCTGCGATGATGTCACTTGTGTGCAGAAGTCCGGGGCACACCTCAATGCTTTGGAGGAACGGCACGGCTATGCCATTCCTTCAGAGCGCATGCGCCGGCTGTCAAAAGGAGTGAATATCTCCCAAACAGCGCACTTTTAGGAGATACTCCTTTTACCTACAGGTAAGCTTTATTCTAAATTTACCTGTAGGTAAAAATAAAAACCCAGGGTTTACTACCGCTTTAAAGTAAAATTTAAAGGGTTCATTAAAGGGATGCAGACCCTGCAACTTTCCTCAGAACACTGCAGGTACATTAGCTGACTAATAGTGAAAGTCACTCCCATTCAGATTCACCATGTGAACAACAAACCGCTTTTTCTTTAGGGCCGGTTTTCATCAAAAATGGAAAAGGTGCATATCGTGCAGGTTTCCTGCACCGCCTATGTGATCTGCATGTGGGTGCCAATGAATTACTGTTGGCACACCAAATGCCGTGTGTTTGCGGGCATGTAATCGCATGGTACAGTAGTACTCTGTGTGACAAACGTGGCGTCAGACCTCAGACCTTTTCACCAAACTCGTGACCGAAGGACTAGCCAATCTAAAACCGCGATGTCACGTGCGTAACAATGCCACGCCCAGCTGCACCCTGCACAACGATATTCCAGCTAATTGGACCACAATCTATGTACCAGCAGCCTGGGAGCGATTGTTACTGGGTCAGGTTAATTATGCAATTAACCCTTCACACTGCCACCACCTCCTTTTTTGTACAGAGAAAGAGGAAACTCGGCGATATCAGCTATAACACTATAATGGTTGAGATAATCGGCTGTATAACACAGTCACCACAGGCCGGCTATACAGAGGGTTAAACAAACACAGTAGCGCTCTTTTAGAGGCAGGAATTCGTAAATTGCAATAAAGAGCTATAGAAACAGTTCAACACTTTCAGAAAGAAAGATTTATTACTAAAAGGTCAAAAGGGTGCAATAAAAATATTTACAGAAAAAAGATGTAACCAATATATATAAATATACAGAGAACAACAGCACAGCAAAGAGATAACAGAGTGAAGTTAGAGGGTTAAAGTACTTGCCAAAGTCCTGGGTTAGCAGATCAAGTTTCAG